GGGGAAGGAAGACTTGGAAATTTTGGCAAAAACAACACGGGCATTTCGTTGTTTTCAGGAGGTGTTATTCTTCCCAGCAATGCGACCTGATGAAAAAATGCCGGATCCGCTGGAAGAAAGTAACGCATGATGTTGTGCGCAGCAAAAAATGGATTTTTTTTTTTGGAAATTTACGAAATCGAACGAGTAATGATGGATACGAGATTATCATTTTTAGAAATCCAAATAAGTGTCATCTATGAGCTTTTCCAGCAAATCGTCTTCGGGCAATTTTTTTTAAAAGCTCAAGATGCCGGCAAAATATTCTTTTGCTTGAGAAATTTCTGTTATTTGCAAGTTTTTGTTTTGGTTTTCCGGCTTTTTTTTGTTGATAATTAAAAAATAACTATTTATTAATTCAGTACGTTGATCAGCGGCAGCTCATAGCGCATTTGGCAACTTTCCAAACGTTTTGCCCAGTGCTGCTTCGCTTAACTGACGGCTTATTGGCATACCCTAGCATCTGCTTCATCTTTTGGAATGCTTAAAGTCCAGCCCGGGTTTTTCTGGTTCCCGAGTTATCCATTTCCACGCTAAAAACTTTCACGAGGCCGTACGTGACAATCACGCATGCCTGGAGGGCTCAGTTTGATAAATTTAAGCCGTACATGGGTTGGGAACATTTCCTGAAAATTTCATCCTCCGGGTGATGTTCCCCATCCAACTCTGTGTTGACGCACTGAAACCCATCCCTCAGGTAAGCGTGGGAGCCGCGTGCGGGCTCGCTAGATTTTTCTTCGGTGAGTTCATAACTCGGGAATTTGAGAAGCTAGAACGCTGAAATCGTTCTTCCTGAATATCCTGTCCAAAACGAAAATCGGGCTTTTGGCAAAAGTATCTGGCGACTCTCCTTGTTGCCTGGAAATTTTCCACAGCCTCATAACGCAGTGGCGGAATTCTGTGAAGAGGGCAAGTGTGGGAATTTCTGTCGGGTAACAACGGTTCTGGGGGTTTCTTTTTTGTGTTTTTGTTAAGGGCTACTATTTTTTGCCAAAAAACTTTAATTTTGTGATTTGTTGAGCAGTTGCAATAGATATATGGTTTTTATACATAGCTACATCATCGGTATTTTTTCGTACAAAGTTTTCAACAAAAAGAAAAAATCGCCGCATACATTCAAAATTGAACATTTAGAGAAATAAGAAAACCTAAAAAAGTGGGGAAAAAAAAGAATAAAAACCTGAACAACGAAAAAAATCGGGTGAATCATACAGTAACAGTTTTCTTCGTTTCTCAGTACTGATATGGAAACGCGGCTATGAAAATGGCTTCTTTAAGGTGCCAAATTTCATAGCTGGATTTTCGGTAACAGGCATTTTAGGGCGCGAGAGAAGAGGTCTTAGTTTTCATGTTTTTTCCAGCCAAAAAATTCCAGCTGCTTCACTAAATTTATGCGATGAATTGTTAGCAAAAGAAAGGTGCTTTGCTGAGAAATGTTGAAAAACTGTTACAATTAATCTTTTAAATGAATTTGCTGTTACAATGTGAGCAACAAACAATAAAACTATGCTAGGATTTGCTACTGTAAGGGACCGAAAAGGCCCACCGAATGATCTGTCTCGGGACAGATTTAGGGGTTTGTTTCGCTTTGTAAAAGAACATTTCTTTTTTGATCGGTGCTTGATGGCTTACCTTAATCGGGATTTGTGTTAGCTGTTTCGGATAGGCTGTAATGGATTTTTTTTCGTAACCTTTTCCCCCTGGATTTTTTTACAGGCATTCTTGGTGACAGCGAAGATCTGAAGCGATTTTGAGGGGATATTTTGCAAATCCTCGTGAACACTAGATGTCTAGCAAAACCATAAACGCATACACACACAGACGTACACACACACACACACACACACACACACACACA